GGAGGAAGATAAAAAAAGAATGGGAGTGGACAGAAGAAAGAAGATAAGAAAGTTGACAAAGTAATAGAAAGTCAAGTAAACTCACAATAAAAACTGACATTTTAAAGTGAGACACAACCAAAAAGTACATAATGGTCAGTGTCTCATAAACATGGAGATCATTTGCTCACGCCAACCGTCCGTTTCTGATTAACGTAGCTGACGCACTTCTGCTCAGAGTCAGTTGTTGACAGTGACATCATTTTTGTTACAGTTCTCAAATAACTGCAGAGATGAAAACAAAAGAACTGGGGGATGGGCCAGAAATTCAAACATGTCATTGGGTGTGCTTTTCAAAACCCTTTAACCACACACACACATAAGCCTTTTCACAAATAGTGGCACATATTTTTCTATTTGAGCCAGCTTTCAATAAAGGAAAAAGACCAGATATAGACAGCATGCACAGAAAAGTAGAGAAAGAGGGCGGCCGGCAAGAAAGGTCAGGATTATTTGTTGAAATAAGCGATAACATTAAATGTCACAGTCAGTTCCTTCCCTCAATGCACAAGGGGCTGTGAGGTGAAGATTCTGATTAGTTCTGCAGCATCACAGCATTCTGCCCATTTCAATCTTTACTGTAACTCTGCTCTCCACACCAGTCATACTGTTACTGAAAAGTCTCTGGGCATCTCAATCACCGTCAGATCTTAATGCTCATCCCACAGAGCCAAGCTCCTCCACTGGGACAACGGAGCAGACAGTAGCAGAAAAAAATACGAAAAATGGAATTACTTTAATATTAAGAGGGCGTTATTAAGTCTGGGCTGTGAGTCAACATGCAGGAAGGCCTCTGTACTGCCCACATCTGGTCTCCTGGTGATCTGTTACAGGAGGACTTTTACTCTGCATAAAGATCCAAATACATTGACTAATAAACACTAACTGGACAAATTAAATGATTCAACTTTAGTTCCCATCTCACAAATTCGGTCATTTCCAAACAACAAATAAACAGTCAGTGTCATTCATTTTAAGCCGCGCATGTTTGAGCCTCAGATAAAAGTTACTAGAATCCCCTAAATGAACACAAATACACACACATTTTCTTAATTTCTGCTTACAGAATGTGGTATTTGCCATTTAAGGGCCAATAGGGGGATACACAAATGAGCCAAACGCACACACAAATGCCCACACGATGTGCTGTGTTGTGTTTTAGGGGCTGAGAGAAACAAGAGGAAGATGGGACACAATGGACAGTCCAGGTAAACACAAAAGATGGAGGTCCAGCAGTATTATGTGATAATCTTTGGTATATATGTAACATTATTGTTGGTGTTGTTCATGTCATATGTTTTGTGTGACATAGACACCCACTTGCCCAAGGGGACCCTGAACACCTCTCGTTGTCATTTGATAACCAGCTCAAATTCGTTTGCTTTCATGAGGCTGAACTTTTCTATTCTGAAATTTAACTGTCCTATTTTTAGGGCTGCTGTAACTGTCGCTCTTTGCTTTATGTCTTGAGAATAACTCGGTAGTCCTGTGACCTCGTGTTTGGAAAATTTAAAGTAAACAGATCTGGAGACACCAATGGACTTTCCCTCTCCAAAAAACACACCTTGAAAGGATTGTTGTCTGTTTCCTTTCAAACTGTTGATGGAAAATGATGCTTGGCAGTTGGTATTGTATTTCCCTCTTGCATGTGAGATCAGTAAAACTATAATGTCAATGTCAGTCTTTGTGTTGTTGTTGAACTTCTTTAAGCCTAAGGTTTTTGATGTTTAAGTATTTTACATTGAGGTTATCCTCATGCATCCATCTATTAACCTGGATAATGATACACTTCCACATCTACAGTTTCATAACTTGCCACATTGTCCCTTCGCATAAAAACAGCTGCACTGTGGATGCTCTAACTGCAAAAAGCCCCAATCTGCCAACTACATTAACATCCCGTTGTTCTACAAGTCTAAATTAAGGTGGATGATCTGAAATGGTTAATTTTTCAGTTATAATTCAATATATTAAACCCTCAACAAAAATGAGGGTATAATAAGAATGTATATTAACTATAGGTGATCCTGAAATGCTTTTCAAATTCCTCTTAGTTTAGCTCTTCTGGGTATAATCAAAATAATCGGATTGGTTTTACACTTCTGTCCTTCATGCCTTAGCTAAATTCAATTAAACTGGAAATAGGCTTTCATTCATAAACTATTTCATAAACTATTCCCAGCATAATGTGACTCTAGCAGTCAGAGAGCACAATATCACAAAAAAATGATAATAAACTAATAAAATGCTAAACAGAGAGGTATGCCATTAAATAAAAACATCATAATGTGGCCATCATTTTGTAAATATTTGAAAAAGGGATATGACTCTTTAAAGACCAAATACACATTGTGGAAATACTTTGGACAGAGTTGGTGAGTAGACAAGAGGTCTCAAACAGGAGTAGAAGATAAATCATTTAATTGGTGCTAGAATACAAAAGAACCAAAACTAAATCAACTGGGCAAGATTTGAAGCTGTTTAGCCACAACTTAGCTTACAATGGTTTGCAGATGTCAAAAACAGAAACAGATAGAGAAAAAAAAGATGTTCTTGTGTTGTAAAACACTACTTAGCTACTAAAAATAGCAACTGTTCCCCGAAAATGTGTTCTTGCTTTTTCTTTGAAACAGGACACTCATGCTTGGAGAGGCCGTGTGACTCCTGCTAACCCTGTATCAGCCCTCCGCACCCTGTTGCCGTGCTCTATACATAGAGAGTGACTTGGAGGTGCAAAGCCTTCACACCACAGAAATACATTCATCATGATAGCTGCACTCACACAACAAATGAAAACCTCATAAATCCGCTCTCTGCAAATCGCATGCTCCGCTTCCACCGCGCATTAGTCAATAATGACTTTTGATCCCGCAAAGGAACCACGAACACTGACATTCAGATGCTATCACATCATCATCATCAAAAAGAAACAAAGAGGTGTCAACCAGTATTTTAAGTCCTGCTTGTGTGCTTGATGCATGAGGCTTCATCTCACTTTAGTGTTTATTTTAATACAGTTTACATCAATGTATAATCTGAAGTAAAACCCAAATAGTTTGGATGTAGTTTATTTAATGGTATATTAATGGTTTAATGGTGGCACTTTACCAAACAAGCTCACAAGTAAGTTTTTGATTATTGTGCAGACATTTAAAACCGTGGGTAAAACCACATCTAATTGCATTATGTATCTGGGCATAGCATTTCACATTGTTGCTGCATGTACTGTAACATGTTGCACTTCTACACCTGCCGCGTCCTAAAATACGAGCCCAGCAGCTCCCGTCTGACTGCTAAAACAACACATCAAAGTCATACGAGATGCCCAGCCTACATGTAACCGCAGGTCTGAGCTGGCACACAGGAAGTATGTTTTGCTGAGGCAAACATGCCTGCTCCCATATGTGGACATATGCTCTCTTACTCATTTCCGTTGTGGTGGTGATCAATTATTTTCCTCTTTGCATCTGTCAACATATGATAAAGCCACCAGGGCCGAAATGAATAGCTGAGGAGAGAGTTTGGCTTTTGTGGGAAAACTTTTTCATACCAAATCATATGATGTGGTTATTAAAACCACAATCAGTCACATATTGTGGTCAAAAGTTACTATGGGTTTTCATTCTAGCTGAGCTAGTAATTATTAAGGTTCTTGTTTGCTCTGCCAGCACTCGTGTTGCATCATTCACAGTCCAAGTTGGCCTCTGACTCCACAAGAAAACAATAGTCCATTGAGCCACATAGTGTGGATTAATTAGATTAAATCTGAAAGTGACAGAGAATGTGAAAGGAAGGGACTGTGAATCCACATTGACCTCTGTTTGATCATGTTTCCTTTTAGAACCCAAACTGTACCCTGCTGGCTGTAGAGAGAACGCGGGTTTAAGGAACATGAGCATTTTCTTGAACCCAACAACAGAACAACAGCTTCACTGTCACTGCACTGTCAATATCAGTTTAGATATAAGATTATATCTAAAAGAAACCAGACGCCAATCTACAATGCTCTATTAGCTAATGATGCAATTCACCACAACAGGTCGAATATGAGAGTCTTTACTTCCATATCTATATTCATTGTAATGCGATCCTTATTCATTCAAACCAAATAAATTCAAATCTAATTGAGCCCAATTTGATGAGCAATGACACAGCATCCTAACTGATTCAACACCAACCCTGTCTTTAAACAGGTTTTAAACACTCATATACATACAATAGTGTCGTGTCTTGAGTAATAGCATTTGTTTTAGCTCAGGCTCCAGCTAGATCTACCAGAAACTGATCGATGAGCAGGGAGGCCGACACACCAGCACCAACCATGAATGGCAGCAGACACCAGGGTTAGAAGCCTGTGTGTGTGTGTGTGTGTGTGTGTGTGTATCTTTCAGTAACTAAAAGTGGAACTATTTTGAATAACGTGAAATAAAATCTATAAAAAGTTAGATGCCTACATTTTTGAAAAGCATCTTTGAAAACCATGATTTTTAAACCCCAAAATGACCCCTTTTTCTTGGCATAGGTGATTGCCTGTTCCAGTGACCCTCAGATCCTTCAGAGGACATTATTAGCCTTTCCACTCGGGCTCTAATTGATATTTGATGGATGTTGTGATAGCGTCTTGGTCTTAGAATGGAGTACCGAAGCTCATCCCAGCACAGAGAGTCAAACAACAACCTTCTGATCCTCAGCTCTCACATTTGCAGGACATACCACATCTCCATGGCAAAGCCAAGACAGGAGCAGTGATTCAAGACAACACATACACCAGGACAGAGAAAGAAGAAGATGAAAGAGAGAAGAACATCGTCAACAAAAGGAGCGCAGAGTCAGGAGAGGCCACTGCTGACCAATAAAAGAGATGCGTCTTCTGTTCGTCCCCCCTCAAAATCCTATCGGTCTCCGTCCCCCCGCTGTGTCTTTGTGTTCCACACCCACGTTTTTTTCCGGGGCGCACTAACCTGCAGAGGGCCGCTGGCTGGCATGGTGGACCTCAGCGATGTCAGGTCAATGTCTCGGCCCGGCTCTCCCCTCTCGGTCTTCCCCAGTCCCTGCATAATTAGGCCCGAAGTGAGCAGTATAGCTAGCACCCGCCTGAGCTCTGGCCTCGCTGCTGTGAAAATGCAACGATGGCAGAGGTGGTTGTGAGGGGAAGCTGCCCCGGACGCCAGGCACCGGGCACCATGCAAGGCCAGGGGCGACGACAGAGGGACAAACAAATGGTTTATTCACTCCACGCTGGTCTCCTCCTCTCCCCGACTCTCCCTTTGCAGACATTCAGTCTGTATCTCCCCCCCCCCCCATTCTAAATCTAGGTTGTGCGATTCCCAGAAGTTCCAAATTAACTATCTTGTTAAAAACTGGCAAATATTGTCAGAAGGTTAGAAAGTGCAACCATAATTAAAGTTATTCTAGTACCTGTCCATGGCTTCATTTGAGCGACTGACCACTGCAAACCATTACCTGCCAAGGCACACCAAGCTGTTTCTATTTGGGCCTGTTTGATCAACAAAAAGCATTTCACACTAGATCCATCAAGTCAGCTGAAGTCAGACGTGTTCCCACTGAACCCGAGAGGCTTTTCTGTCTGTGTGTTCACGGCCTATATCCAGAGCAAAGGGGAGCTGATTATCATGGAAACTGAGCGATAAAATGATGACTACCAGCATATTATAACAATTATCTAACAAATTAAACTAACAAGCTTCCATTATTTGTAATCATGTATCCCAAAAATAATGCTGCAAAAGGAAATAGTTTGAGTTTCAACCAAATGAATAAAATTACTCTTCAATTTTTCTTCATTTTGGGCCAGATTGCGTCCATTGAAATGAATAAACTGCATGAAGCCTCAGGGTTAAACTCAGGCTTCAAATGATTCTGTTATTAATACTTTGTTTCCACATCCATAAGTCTTTTCATCTTACCCTAACCCTGCATCAGATACCTAAATGCAAATGCATAGGTCGGAATCTTTATGATGGTCCTTTAACATAATCTTTTGCCATGGTGTGGCCTGAGTCTGCTCAAATTTGTGGTGTGGAAGGGGAACAATAGACAGACAAATCCAGTTCTCAATTTGAAAGGGCAGGCATGTGCTAACAGAAAGTAAAAGAAAAGCAAGAAGAACACAGAAAAGAGTTAAAAGTAGACAGAGATACTCTCAAAGCCAAAAGTTAACCATCAGCATGACAGAAAAAAATACAGGAACTGAAAAAGGCACTGAAAGTTACATCACATTTACGAACAGAGCCCTTCTTTCCCTTATCTTATAAGCAGCACTGAATTAAAGGAGGTGGAAAACGAGCAAAGCAACTCCCCATAACAAAGAAGCCAACTGAGAACAGAAAGCTGCTTAAAACCTCAAGAAATCAGAGTAAAGACTTGACTGAGGTAAAGCAAAAACAAACATAATGTCACAAACCCGTCAATCCCGTTGTTAAAGACTCACGGGAATAGATGAAAATTTGAAAAATGAAAGGAATGAAATCTTAATGATCCCAAACAACTGACAAAAGAGTCTTTCTTTTTCAGTCTTTGCATTCTTGCTCCTCTTTAACATCAGTTTCGGAGCACAGAGTGCTCCTCTGGGTTTAGCTCACTGGCTTTGATGCTCTTCCAGCAGATGTCTGTGAAGCAGGTAGCCCTCACTACCACGGACGTAGAAAGGATAAGCAACATGTTGCTGCTGACACTGAATTACTTAACCTTCCTGAAGATGTAAGATTAGACAAGTTGAAATCAGACTCTTTATTTCCACTTCGTTCTGTTTTCCATCTGAACACTTCTTGAAATTATTGATTTATTCTTGTTCCTGCTAAAACGCAACTCTCTTCTGCTTCAAAAGGAGGGGATTGTTTTCACACCAGGATAGAAAGCGGTCAACCTTTTTAGACACAACCCCTGTCATACTCATAATCTGTGGTCTGATTCTGAGCTGGTAAATGACCCTCACTGTATTGCAACAACTCAAGTGTTTTCATAGAAGTTTGGCGTTGGTTTGAAGCTGCATTTAGACCTTCTGGAATTGCCAAACATAGAAAGCTCTGTAATTAATAACCTGAGAAAAGATGTATAAAGTTCACTGTTCATCAGCCTTTGTGTAATTCTTGGTTACTCCTCACATTGATGTGCTGTAAAAGAGGAACACGGACATGACTGATGAACATCCTGACGTTTGCTGTCAACGCTTTTAAAACAATATTCTTTTTGGCAGTTTTCGATGCATGATCAGTTATGTCGAATTCCAGATGTTTTCAGCTTTAGTTCAGGTAATGAAAGACAAATTCATGTGAGAACATTTTGAAATATCTGGCCTTTTAAAAAAAAAAAAAGTTTAAAAAAAGCATGGGTTTACATAAGAAAACTTCCAGAAACCCATCTAATCCTAGCTGATATTGTCTGAGAAATTCTTCGGGTTATGGTTTTTACAGTGTTAGTCCCCTGCTGTCTGTTAGGGATTTGATGGATTTTATGTCCATTCATCAGCCTATGATAAACTATATGATTAGTATGTAGGTATTTGGAGTAAATGGATTCCAAGTTAATCCCTAAATTAGTCGTAAAACACAAACAGTCCTAGCCAGAGTTACCTAATTCTTTTGGAATTGTTCCTGGAGACTGAAGTTTATCAGAGACTCCGCATTATGTAGCAAAGCCTTTTGATTAGTTGGTTCCTATAAAGAGAGAGCCATTTGCAATTATTACACAAAACCATATGGAATCATTTAGACAGAGGCAAGAACAGGCCAATTAACGACAATCTCAATGTATTGACCATAAACAATAAATGTGTGTATAAAAGTGCAATATAGAATTAACCATTTGATAGAAAACAGCCGAGCTAAGGACACCAATGATGCCTTTGACAGGTGGAAAAGCTGTTATGGAAAATATTTTTCTGATTCACCTTTTTTGGCAAACACAATAAAATCTACTTGAGAATGAATGCAGAGCTTTTTAAACAAATTGCATTTTTTCCTCAAACCAATTATAGATTGACGCCCCTCCTGAGACACTGACCTTTAGCCCCACTTAAAACTACCTGACAAAGACTTAACAAATCCAAATGTGAGAATATATGGCAAGTTATTTGTAGATTTGTGTACCACCTGAGCACTGTATGTTTTTCTAACACCTCTAGCGAAGTTAGCTCTCTAGTTAACCCTGTCCTTTTTTAGTAGTTTTAAAGGTCAGGGTTAAATAAAAATACTAGTCTGGATTTACATTGATCGTACATTTAAACATGTAAGAATAGAATATTAATCCTAAAGAGATGATTTGTTCTTCTGGTGCTTCAGGGCAGTTTTCCTTCCTTGTTTTTTTCCTGTAGCTAACCGTATGGGGTGTTCCATGTTGCACCGCCTGTAAAGCTCCAGGCCTGAGGCGGACTTGTTATTAGGGTTAGCGAGCTGCATGAATTAAACCGACTTGTCTTTACTTGTTGTGAAAAACTAACAAAACCTGTGACGCTCTGAAAGGGAATACCTTTCAATTGCATAGAAGTTATTTATAGCATGGCATGTTCTCAGTGATTACAGATCTGATGTGCCCGCAGGGATCATATGAATTATAGAAATGACTCATTCTCTTTGTGAATATGAAAGTTATAAGCATTTTTAATCATGCATTGATCTGCAGAGGAATCATCAGAACCCCGATGTAAATTGTCTTGTGCATATTCTACTTATTTCGCTGCTGTACATTTGGGTGCATGTTGCTGATTATGTGGTGTCACGTGTGCAAAAATGCATCACTGGCCTTCTTTTGAATATTTGTATCCAAACAACCACAAAGATTTAGCACTTTTATTTTTATCAGTTAATCAGACAAATACAGGATGAACTCTGAGATGGCGGAAGCTGAACAGATTTAAATAAAAAGCAGCAAGCCAACCTGAGAATCGTTGCCAACACCTGCAGAATTTTTATTTTTATGAGGTGTTATTGAGACTTTATCATTTGTTCTCAGTCAGTGTTTTGAACGTGGACTTTTTCCTAATAAAAAGCAGGAAAACACAATCATTATTTGAATCACTCAGTTTTGGAAGAGTTTAATGTCGAACATTAAAATGAAGTGGTAATACTTATTCATTCAAATCTAGCATTTTTCTAGACAAATCTATGCAAAAGTTAGGTTTCATAATTATTTCACTCTGATTATGTGTAACAGAACATGTAGGAATATAAGAGTTGAGTTGAGTTTGCAAACTGACCACTAGTTGTGAGAAATGAAGCTCTCTTATCAGTGTATGTTTTTAAAAAGATGTCACTGACAACAAATCCTTATAACATCAGTACAATACATTTGATAAAAGAAAAACATGATACTTTATGTTCATGCTGAACTCTGCTCCCACATTAAATACACATGCCTGACGTTACATGAGCAACACTACTGGCAGAAAAACAGCTCAGAGCTGTAGGGACATGAACAGAGAACCTCTGGGTGTTCATGTGGTATCTGGCAGTAGATTGTTAAAGTCCTGAAATTTACAAGCCTCCAAAGCCTGAAGAGAAGACAGAGACCCATTAGAAGTAAAAATAAATTAAATCAAAATCGTATAAAAAGGTAATGTATGGATGAAGTTTGTGCAAAGGCATTTTTACATGAGTGGCCTGATTCATGGGTCTGAACTTGAATGTGGGATGATCCCACTGATGATGGCAAAACGATCCCAACAAGAGGTGAGAGGCCGAATTTTTTTATTTGCCCCAAAATCTACGAACCATTGTTGCTTAAATTGTCGAGAATTGTTATGTGAATCTTGACAAACAGGTTTTGCACTCAGTGGTGATGAAAAAAGAACAACCTCTACAGATTTTTGTTCTGAGTGACTGTAACTGAACGCATCTATTCGCAGCTTGTCAAATCCTGACTCTTGGCATGGGGCCCTTAACTTGAATTTTCCATGCGCGGTGTACTGCTTGGCAGTTTCATATTGCCAGTCTTCCTTCTGCGAAGGGAAGTGGAGAACTGGCTGTGGACACCACTGATCTGTGCAGTTGCTTTGAGAACAACTAACTACACTGTGCAATGAGGTCAGAGGAGAGGAGCCATCTAGAAACCAAATTTCTGAGTATGTACTTGTACACAAGTACACACTCCCTTCATTCATTCTGTAACTGTAGCTTTTTGCTCCGCCTCAAAAGTAGTCGGTTATGATTTAACTTAACTGCATAATAAAATTCAGTTT